CCCAGCAGGAGGCTGAGTACTGTGGGGAGCTGAGCATCAGCCCTGGCACAGTCACATCTCAGCTTTTCCATGGCTTCGGAGTTCTGGGGAGTCACTTATCCACCTTGGTCTCCCCATTCTTCCTGATGACTTCTGCGTTATCGGCCTTTGGAGCCAAGGCTGCCTGAGTGTGAGTCCTCATTCAACGCGTACTAGCTGTGTGAATCCATTCCCTGGGCCTCTATGTCCTCTCTTCTCAAATGAGGATGATATTAACCTCTGTTCCCTAGAGCTGTCAGTGTAAAGTGACAAGAATGGCATCCAGTGGGGAATAAGCATTCAACAAACCTTGGTGATTGCAGCCCTGTGATTTTGCGATCAAGGGTTTCAAAACCACGTTTTTGGCGTTCCTTGTCTTTTTACTGTGTTCAGTCTGGTGAAAAACTCATTGGGCAGCAAACTTGACCTTCACTGACCTAAGGTGTCAAGTTTTTATCTGGATGTCTCCCAAGAGCCTCAGGAGCAACTAGGCAGGTCTTTGGAAGGTGTGACTGGCAGTTAGGAGGCGGAGTCTGGTCAAAGGAGGCGGGCCCTGAGGCGTGGCCTGGAAGGGTTTATCTGCCTCCTGGCCCCTCCCGGATCTCTCTATGCTTCCTGTCTGCCATGTTGTGAGCAGCTCTCGTCTCCCACACTCTGCCGTTCTGCCTTCATATCAGCCAACAATGAACTAAAACCTCTGTATACCCTGAGTCAAAATAAACTTCTCTTTTAAATTATGAGTGTCAAGGAATTTTGTCCCAGCACTGACAGAAGTAACTGGTATTCTAGATAGAGTGTTCGCATTTTCCAGAAGAAATACTGTGTTTCAATTAAGGATTGCTGCCCCTTATCACAGAGAAAATGCCATTCATACGTGAATGCACCCTGAATTATCTCCCTAAAATTTGGACAGTTCTGAATTTTAAAGTGCACTGGTAAAAAATAAAAAAAAAAAGAACAAAATTTAAAAATGCATTTTTGCCAGGCATGGGGGCACCTGCCTATAATCCTAGCACTCAAGAGGCTGAGTTAGGAGATTCACAAGCTTGAGGCCAGCTTGGGCCACAGTGAGTTTAAGGCCAGCCTGCACTACACAGAAGACCCTGTCCTCCTGCCTCAGCCCACAGCCCTGGGCCAAGAGCAGCTCTGGCACAGTGTCTGGCAGAGGTGGGAAAGAGTGGCCAACCATGCTCCTCCTCAGCCTAGGCCCATGGGCATTAAGACGCTGGACAATTAAGTAACCACGTTGTAAGCACAAGGGTGGCTTTGCTGCTGTTGCTGTTTATGTGTTAGAATTGTTAGTCTATCAGATCCCTAGGCAGGAGCATGCCCAGTACATACTGCTGAATGAATACAGGGTAATCTGTGAATATCTTTTCATTCATTCATCCATTAGCTCAGCTCTTTGCAGCCTCCTATCTGCCAGGGACTCTGCTTGCTTTGGCATATTTATGCTTTGCAGAGTAATGTAACTATTTTGATATCATGATGTCATTTCTAGAGTTTATACTTTATTGACCCTAAAAGATGTTGCGGTCCTTAAGACATATCCTCAAAGCAGCGTATTCACTCAGAATACTTTGGAGGAACTTTCTAGAAGAGTTCATAGAACTTTCTGTGAGTTCATACAATCCTGAGCCAGGCCTGGCAGTGCATGCCTGTAATCCCATCACTTGGAGGCTGAGGCAGGAAGTTTGCTGTGAGTTCAAGGCCAGCCTGAACTACACTGGGAGACCCTGTCTCGAAACAAAAATGTTCATATCACCCTGCAACCCGCAGCTTGGGAGCATTTAGGGCACACAACTCTTACAGAACAGAACTTGGGTCTTTGTGTCTTTAGTGCAAATCCACAGAGCCCGCGGCCAAGGCTCTCTCCTCCTGACACCAAGGCAGAGCTGGAACTCGAGTCTCCCAATCCCGGTCTCCTCTGTCACCCCTAAGAACCCTCTCAGAATCAGCTTCTTTGGGTGGGGGCGGCCAGGCGTGGAACATGGCTGCTCAATTAATCCACATCCAGGTGGAGCCAAGAACTCCAGGCACTGCAGAGGGTGCAGCGTGCAGCCTGCGGGACAAGAATGGGGAAAGGGGAAGGGAGGGGACTGGGATGGTGAGGGGACAGCGGCTCGCGCCTACCTTCTCTGGGCGGTGGGCGAATCAGCTTCTTTGGGTGGGGGCGGCCAGGCGTGGAACATGGCTGCTCAATTAATCCACATCCAGGTGGAGCCAAGAACTCCAGGCACTGCAGAGGGTGCAGCGTGCAGCCTGCGGGACAAGAATGGGGAAAGGGGAAGGGAGGGGACTGGGATGGTGAGGGGACAGCGGCTCGCGCCTACCTTCTCTGGGCGGTGGGCGGTGGGCG